AAAACAAACAAACGAACAAACAAAAAACAAACAAACAAACAAAAGAAACAAAAAACTACTAAAACACTATCTTTAGCTGTTGACACAAATCCCTTGGACTAAAATAGAAAGACAAAAAGAACGGCTTTTGTTTTCTAGATTTTTTTTCTCTTTTTGTGTGCGTTTATTTTTCGCGTTGCAAAAACTCTTATTAATGCTCAGTACGAGTGAGGCCTCTTCATTTCTATTTTGTTGTCGTAATCTTTCTCTCTTTCTGTGTGTAGGTGCTGTTAAAAAATGTGTTTGATCGTTTGTTCGTTGTTTTTGTTCCGTGGTGCAAACTCTCGTAGTAAAAAAGCAATTTCCTGAAGAAATCCCATTTTCATATGATTCGGTTGTTTGCAGAAATCGGAATACTTCGATATTTTTTCAACACTTAACGTTATTTTTTCTCGCTTTTTTAAGTGTGTGCACTGTCTATGTTTATAGTGCAACGCCAAGAATCATTTCCTCGTAGCGTTTTTTACTTCATAAATTTACTCTAACAGTGATCCTTTATTAGCGGACTGCCCAATTGCTCTAATATAAAACACACATCGACGTCCTTAACTAATAATTGTCAACCATGAGGCAGTAGAATGATGAATTGTCATATTAATCGTTGCACTATATATGTTATCTCTGTAGTGTGATACCAGCCCAGTGAGGTTCAATAGATGTATTCTAAGATACAATTGTTTATATTGGAAGGTCAAAATGTCTGTCTCTTTGTTATATTAATCAAGTTTTCCAGTTTAAACATGTTGGTGTTTCGTACTATATGTCGTTTCTGCTTTATAAACCTAGTCGTGTATAACCGCCTAATTTTCATTCGTTTTCATCTAATTTCACTTCTTAGCGTGATCAAAAAACCTCTTGATAATGAACAAAAATTTAGACAGCTTAGGAATGACGATTCAAGAAACAGGTAGATGGTGCGAGTGCTTTAGGGCATTATATGTTTTTGTTGAAGCCATGAAAAATTAACACTGAAATTGTTTTTCTTCTATTTTTGGTTGTGGTATTCTTGACATTGATGTGTCTAGCCAAGGTACATGAAACCAAACTTACATAGCCGCCCTCACTGTTAGGTGAATTCTGGCGCTGTCTCAGGCACTGCTTAAGGCATTAATATACGTACTCAAATAACACATGTTGGTAAGCAAGGATTTGAACGATGCTTTGACAGACCCTCGACCAAATTCAATCTTTTATTAATGCATTGTAGGGATTACAGAGGTACTTTGGTTGATAATACAACTCTAATAAGGCACCCATTATCAAAACATGCTTCGTTCAATAAACCTTTACAGGTTTCTTGAGACTGATAAGAATAGACAATCCCAGAGGAATGTCGGAGGATTAGGCTGAGACAATCCTATTTCATTCCAGACAAATGGTTTTAAACCCTAACTAGGTAAGACAAGTGTATTATTTTATATAAGGTATCACGTTGATTCACTTACCGAGTCTTGGTACACAAGATTCGTCTGGCTAGTTCGTGTAGTTCCTTTCACTCTGTCGAAAAAACGAATTGAATAGGATCAAAATCTTGCCCGTGACGAGTGTCTTAAAGAACCTCAAGATCGGAATCCCTGATTATATGAATCCCCTATCGCTTGTCACGTGACCCTGAATTGTTGTTTTGAAGGAAATCTTTTAATAGCGCTTTAAATGCAAATAACAATATCCACCGCTAGTGATTAAATTGATTTGATTTAGACAGTTTTTAGCGTTGGGTTGACATTGGCGCGCGCGTTTGACGAAACCCACTAAAAGGGAAATTACCGCGCTGTTCTAAAAAGAAACCTTTTTTTCAATCGAAAAGCTACTACGTGCTTCAAGTAGCATTGTTTAAGACTGCTTTTAGTAAAGCTGAGTAAAGATAAAACCAAATTATAGAATAGAGCTTGTTATTCGGTTCATGGAGTGCCAACTGAGCAAATGACATGTTACATTACAAACATGACAGAACGTCATCTTCACTAACTCATTCCGTACCTAGCACTTAGTCTCTTACACGCACCTGTTACTTGAGTAATTTACTTATTTTCGAGTAAATGGACTGCAAGATGACAGAAATGCAGTGTTTTTAGTGGTCAGTTGATTGAACACTGTTTCGGGTGACCGAGAGACCAATTGACTGGAATCGAATTCCACGCCTTGTATAAATAAAAGTAAAAGACTAGTATGCTCTGATATATCTGATATCATGACACATTCTTTCTAGATAGCCGGAATTGTCAGCTCCATCTGATTGCTGCTCGACTAAAAAAATATAACTTTAAGCTTATAAGATTGTATAAATTTCTGTCGGAACTTAAATCGAATCCAAGACAAAGGAAGAACAATTTATTTTAGAAACTATTTCTTTTGTAATTTTATTATTTGAAAGCGAGCTTCTACTTTGCTGCCAGAGGCTGTCTAAACGGGAGAAAGACTTGATATTGCTTTACTATGGAAAGGAAATTAATCTTACTCTAGGCAAACATACTTTCTGTTACTTATTAAAAAAAACTCTTACTGAAATGAAAACTAATTTTCCAATTCCCGGGTTAGTTGGCAATATTGAAAATGCGATGAAAATAACAAAAAGAATACAAATAACAAATTAGAATAACCTACAACGATTTTTACTTAGGGGATAAAAAAATCAATTCCGTAAGGGATTCTGCAGTCTGAAGACGGTTAGTTAATCTTAAAAAAACAAACTTGTTTTCTTTATTAAGTACAAAGAGAGGAGATATAGATTACTACTTGAGTTAGGGTTAGAACTTGCCTTGTGCTAGCACCCCAGGGAAACTCCATGGCCCCTTACACTAGAAATGTCATCATATATTTGCAGTAGTATTGTGAAGCAAACTTCGAACTGATTTTAAAGGAAGCCCGATTGAAACCTTCAGTTTTTCATTTCCTACATTATTCTGTAATTACTTTACGATATAGATTAACTCTTGATTCAATTTATCAACGTTCCAAGTTTTTCAAACTTAGTGTAGTTAAGATTGGAATCAAAGCCGACAAAAACAAAGTAATCAAATCTATTCCAATGAAAAATCGTACGATTTAATAATAATAATTAATAGTCTTTGAGGATTCATTAGTCACGTTAAAGTTAATCTAAGGAGTAGACTTGATCAGTGTGGGGTTATTACATTCAAACGGATCTTGCACGTCGACATGCATTTACCAATATCACTGAAAAGCAATTCATCATTGAATTTGTAGCTTCAAATTAAGTGTTTTTTCTTCTTTTTTTTCGGAAAACGAGAATTTTTCTCCAGAATAGAAAAAAAACCAACAGTTTCTTAGATCAAAAGAGGAAATCAAACGTGTATTTCGAAGGGAAAATTGGAAAAATTAAAACTCCAAAAACTAATAACAGTTTTCATTGTTTTTCATTCTTTCAATTTCATCCAAGTTTTTTCGACTTGTAAATAGATATTATTATAATAAAAGGATATGACAAAAAAGTGAAAAAACTACGATTTTTTTTATTCTTCACGTTTGATTCTCCTTAATTATTGTTTAGCTCGAAGATATAAGTAAAATGCATAATTAAACCGGCTTAATTAAGCTAATCTTATTCTGAATTCGTGTTCCTCAAACACTTCAGTCTTGCCGATTAATAGGATACACAAAGTAAGGTTTATCTTGGGCAAGAAAGCGTTGCGGGGCGTTTTCTTGAAGATAAGAAGGAACTGATTCCAACCATTAGCATCTAGACACAAGTAAACATGAAATTTATACGATCGTGCGAGAACGGAAAAGCATTTGCCAAATTCGTCCTGTGACGTCTTGAGTTTTATTTCTAAAGTACGTACTTTAAAACTGACGGTGACACTAGAGAAAAACGTTTGCGCATGCATGCGTTTCAGCACGTTTTCTAAGAGTTTTGAAGAGTTTGAATGAGAAAATAAATGTTTGTTTTCTCCAAGTATACAAAAAAGTTTGAAAGCATACTTTTGTCAGACCAAGATACTGTATTAACAAACACAATATGAAAGAATTAGCCTTAAGTTTGAAGCATGGACACTAAGTTTTGGCACATTTTTTTAGTGAAGTCCAATTTATCAGGCATGTTTGAAAGTCAAATTTACTTATGTTTTGACTAATTTGCATACGGATTCAGAGCATGCGCAGACGTTTTTACTCGTGTCCCTGACGGTCAGTGTATTCAAACTTTCTTTAGCGGCGAACGAACACAAGGAAAACCAAATAGAAAACCAAACAGATTAGCCTTTTATTCTACGTGTGTTATAATTTTCGCACTTTTATTTGTAATGTCTTTGGTACGTGATTTCGCATATTGAAACAAGGCGTTGAAAATCCCGCTATTACAGCGTGGTGCTTTTGCGGCAGTGTTCGCAGTGCGGCGCTATGTATTTACAATCATTCGTCATTTACGCAAATTCAGATTATGCTTTCTCAGGCTTTGTATATTGATCAAACAAGTCGAGTCAATTCATTTTGATGCGCTTGGTAATTGAAATACTTCTAAACAGGTGTATTTGAACTGTTTATTGACGTCATAGCGACGTGCCATTTTATTCCAAGATTCTTGTCGCCTTCATACGATTTGATGTCCGGCCATTTATATAACTGAATCTTGAAAGCATGTTTTCTGACATGACATCACTCAATTCAGAATTCTGTACGTCTATTTATGGGAATATTCCAATCTAATTTTTAAAATTACCTATAACGAACGTCACAACTAGGTTATGGAGAGTTTCCAATACCCATATGCGTATATGAAGTCATCCGTGCGACTAGCTTGGGCCAAGAGATCAAAGAATCAAGTGGTTCCTAGTCAAGTGTTTTGTCTGCTCAGTATGTAACAGTACATTGTTTTAGTTTATTTTTGACGCCAATTGATCATAAATCTACTGATAAACTGGATAATTTTTGCTGTGAAACTAATGGTATCCTTCTGCTATGCAAGTGCACGATTATTTATCAATTATCAATTAGTATTAATTATTATTCGTATTTTTTAAACAGCCTCATGTATTTTTGGAGTGCTAGACATTGGCCGGTAACCCTATGATCATGTTATATCGGACACTTTTAGAAATGCCCTTAGAAATAGTTCTCAAACTTTTAAACGATTAACCACTAACATTCTGTTCAATTAAGTAATTCTATGTTGGTTCCAGAAAATCACGCGGCGTTACGCGAAAAAAGCGCGGGAAATCGTATGTTTTGTGTTCAGTTAGAGCAAGCGCAAGGGATCCAACAGTTTCATGCTTTGATTCAATCTCGTACCCAGAGCCTGCGTTTCTTCTGGCCTGCGCAAACGCAGGCTCTGGGTACGAGATTGGCCGCTTTGATTCCCTTTGATCTTATTCGCGTGTTCCGCAATCTTTTGTATCCAAGTAGTTTTTGATACTCTTAAAACTAAGCAGTGATCAGATGAGCTTAAACCGTCGGCCTCCTTCAAGATCAATTGATCAGCTTTCGATGTAGTAATCTATAAGCCTTCTCATTTTAAATTCCATAGTGGGCGGTTAAATAATTGCAAGACTCTTGCTATACTCGCTGTCCAAAACATATCCAAAACATGACTTTGAGTTGGGAATGTATGTGGCTCTTTTGATAAAGAAGTAGGCGTTTTTAGTACGGACCAAAGAAGTTCGTGTTAGGTGAATAGTATTGTGGTAAAAATGGTTGCTTGTCACCGCAATGATTCCAAGGAGTCATAAGTTCAACCTTGGTTAATGTGCGGCCAAATACGTACGTTTGTTTTAAGTGCCTAAACATCTACCTAGACGAAACCTTACTCTGCAATTACCGAATGAATGAAATGACTAATTGAATGAATGAGACATGTCCTTCTATCGCTAAATCCGCGCCTTGGTGGTTAGGTGGTGGTAAGGGTGCGCTTTCAGATTGAGATTGAATTTACTAAGTTTTCAATTATTCATTCATTCATTCTTCTTCTTCATCATCATCAATTTCCCCCTTGTTGACCACTAGCCTCCTCGCGGTACTCGTGTCTGTCTGTCTGTCTGTCTGTCTGTCTGTCTCTTCATTATGCTCACTCACTCGAGTATCTCTAAAGTCAAGAATTTAATTCGTATTTTGTTCTAAAAAACTAAGCATCCCAACTGAAAAACGCTTTCTAATTTTCACATCAAAGACCACTTAACTCTCCAAACGATTGAAAAGATACACCTGTATGATGTTGATAGATCATAAATGCCGCGATATCCGATTAGTGGTGAGAAGAAAACCTTCAATGTTTACCCAGCGGTGAATAAGATCGACCTCATATCAATTTGATTTCGTTTATAAAACTCTACGAGAAGTTACCGAATAGTGATAAACTAAAACACACTCAATTATTAGGACTGCCAGTTAGTGTTTTGGTTGTTTGATCGGGTCGGCAATCAACTGAGATAAGGGTGAAAAAACAATATGAAATTGCAGGGATAAGAATTTGRTAAAAATGAGGTTTCACTAAAAGTTACAAAAAAGGTTGGTCTGAGGTTTATGGATGCAAGGGAATCTTGGAA